TCTTATAAATTACCAATTTGATTCGTTGTTGTTCATTCTGTTGTTGTATACATAGAAAAACTTTATGCTGTATACAATAGGTATTCAAAAATTTAATGTCAGCTCTTTACAAATAATTACCAGATTTCTATTTTTAGTCTTCACCTTTTCCCTGAACTTTAGACTTGTGTATTCAATTGCTTTGCATATCTATATGGATGTGCTCTCAGTACTTCAAACTACAAAACCCCATTCTTTTTCGTCTCTTTTATATATTTAATCACAGTATTTTAGACAGGTTTTTTTCCTTTGGTATTTATCACATACATACTTCCATACACAAACTTCCCTTTTCCCCTCTGTTGGGGATCAAATCTATGGCCTCAAACATGGTAAAAAGGTGCTTTTATATCACCCACCCTTCATAAAAATCTATGCAAGACAGTGAACCCATGTGATCAGAGAATAGATTTTTTAATAGCCCACAGACTTAATACCATGTTACCATCTTCCCAGTTGCTAGACTTAAAATATTTGGAAATTATTGACTTTCCAACAATGTGGCCCTTCACCCCTATGTCAAAATACCTTCATTGGGTTCACTGGCACATGTGCCTGCCTGGCAAACACAAGGTCCTGAGTTGGATTCCCAGTACAAAAGACTCCACAAAAACAAACAAACATTCAAATAAAAAGTACCTTAATTATATTGAAATCAGGTGGCAATCTGATTAGGAGCCTTCCAGAGTTATTTCTGCTTTAGTAATAGGAATCAGAGTAGTAGATTCTGAGTACATATTTTATCAAGACTTCATGTGCTTAGGGAATATGTAAATTCTTTTTCTTTAGGCTATAAGTACAATCATGTATCCCTTCATAATGGGATAGGTGCTTAAAAGTGCATTGCACTCTGAGGCAGGAGGATCTTAAATGTAAGCCCAGCCTGAGCATTTTAACAACTTGATGAGACTCTGTTTCTAAAAAAGAAAAGAAAAGAAAAATAGGTGGAGAAAGGAAGGGGTGTGGGTTGGGGACTGAGGATATATAGTTCAGTGTGAAACCCTTCAGTTTAATCTCCAGTAGTGGAAGGAAGGAAAGGAGAAAGGGAAGGAAGAAGAAAGAAGGAAGGGGGGGGGAACAGAGCAAGGCAGGGAGGATGGAAGGGAGAGTGGGAAGAAAGAGAAAAATGCATTGTTGGGCAATGTCTTAGTTACTCTTAAAGGAGGAGAATTTTACCTAGCTCACAATTTGTAGAGGTTTCAGTCCACAGCCAGCTGGTGCCAAGGTAGGGTGGCATGGGAGAGGAGAAACAGTCCATGGCAGCAGGGCATGCAGAAGGCAGCAAATGACAAGATAAGAGCCTCTTTTTGTTCCTGATGTTTCATCCAGACTACCCACCTTTAGGGCGGATAGCACATACACCCTTAATCCTAGCATCCTAGTGTGCATCATTGATCCCAGTATCACCCACTCCAGATCCAGTCACCTCCAGAAACTCCCACCTATGCCTGCATGTGGCCTGGGGAGACATCGAGATACAGTACATAACAGGTGATTTTATTGTTGCACAAATATCATGGAATGTACTTATACTTAGATGGTATAGCCTGTTTCTAGGTTGCAAACATATATAGCTTGTTACTGTATTGAATACTGCAGGCAGTTGTAGCACAAAGGGTAAAAATTTGTGTATCTAAAGAAAGGAAAAGTATGCTATAAAAAATAAAAAGTAGCATACCTCTATAGGATGCTTACCATGAATTACCATGCTAATTGTTTACTGCTGTAGACTTTATAAATACCATAGAATGAGGCTATACTATATATGTATATTTTTTTCCCCAGTTTTTGGAATGCTATCCCGTTGATCTGCATCTATAGCCTGTTTTGTTTTGTTTTGTTTTAATTTTGTGAGAGGGTCTTGCCAGGCTGCCCAGACTAGCCTTGAACTTGCAATTCTCCTGCGTCAGTCTTCCAAGAAGTTGAGTAGGTGCAATTCCAGGCATGTGCCACTGTGCCTTGCTTCACAAAAAAATTGTTTAAGAAATTTGATAAACTTTTTTGTTCTTGTAATAGGATTTAAAATGTAAACATTGTATAACTGCACAAAAATAATTCCTTCTTTTATATCCTTATTTTATAAGGTTTGTGGTATTTAACTTTTAAAAATGTACTTGTAAAACATTTTTGTTAAAAGTTAAGACACAGTTAATGTAGGCCTCACCAGGGTCAGGGTCATCAGTATCACTTGTCTTCCATCTCTGTGTTTGGTCCTACTGAAGGTCCTCCGAGACAGTAACACATAGAACAGCATTACCACAAACATGTAATAGATTGTGCTGTGATGTTGTGACATTTAATATTTTCATTACTAGTCATGAATTTTGAAGGTGTATCTTATTAAGCATTTTTCTGATGATTTAGTGCTGCTGAGGATCCTTCATGTGTTTATTGACCATTTGTGTCGTCTTTGGAGAAATAACTATTTACATCTTTTGTCCACTTTTTAAACTCAGTAGTTTGGGTTTTTAAAAATTAATTTATAAACTTAATTCCTTTATTTATTTATTTAATCAGTACCGGGGATCGAACTCACGACCATGCGCTTGCAAAGCAGGCGCTTATGCCGCTGAGCTAAATCCCCAGCCCCAATTCCTTTAAGTTTTACAGCTATTTTCTCCTATGAAGGGTCTTGGCACTTCACATGAAGTACAAAATATTTTTAATTTAGTTGAATTCCAGTTTACCCATTTTTTTTTCCCCCCTGTGGTACTGGGGATTGAACTCAGAGACTTTTCACTGAGCTACATCCTCAAACCTTTTTTATTTTAAAATTTTGAGACAGAGTCTCACTAAGTTGCTATTTTACCCATGCTGGGATTGAATTTACTGTCCTCAGGATTCAAACCTTGTAGAGTGTTGGAATTATAGTTCTATGTGCCACCACATTGATTCACCTACTTTTTCCTTTGTCACTTGTACTTCGGAGTTATAATTAAGAAAGCTTTACCTAACAAAGTCTTGAAAATCTACTTTATATTCTTTCTATACTATATTCTTGAACTTTGTATAAATAGAATATAATGTGTACTTTTTTGTATCTTGCTTCTTATTTCAAACTAATGTCTGTAAGATTCATCCATGTTGGTCCATGTATCAGTTTGTTTCTTTTTATTACTGAGTAGTATTGTAGTCAGTGAATATACTAGTTTGATCATTTGATCATTAATTTTTCTAGACATATGGATTTCTAGACTTTGCTTATTATGAATAAAGTCTATAAACTTTGATCTGTAAGTATTTTCTAAACACATTTTTATTTCACTTGCTGGGCTGTATAATGGTGAATCTTTACAAACAATTGCTGTGCAGTTTTTTAAAAGTCATTGTTACCATTTTGTACTTAAATTTTTTTTTAGTTTTAAAGAGAATAAAACAAAACAGAACAAAAGCAGATCAAAACAACAATACAAGCAACATAGGACTTCACAACAAGACAACAGGACATCACAGTGGCTACCATAATGTCTTTTGTTTTCTTTGAAATAGTTGACCATACCTTCACACACAATAATATCAAACACCACAAAATTGTATAAAACCATTCAAAAGAATGAAAGCATTATAGGACTCCATAACCAGATAACAGGAAATAAACAATGGCTACTATAATATCTTATATTTCTCAAAAAAGTAGTCCATATCATCACACATAATAAAATTAAATAGACTACAACAGGATAGAAACAGTCAAAATTGAAAAAAAAAGCATGATAGGACTTCAAAGCCAGATGATAGGAAATTAGCGATGGCTGCCATAACTATTTTATACTTTTGATAATGATTTATGAGAGTTACAATACCTCCCACACTGACCATTTTTCTTTTTACTTTAAAGCAGTTGACATTTTTGAAGTAGTGAGTAGTGGTGACATTGAACAAACAAGTAGCTATCTTAGGACCTTTATTATTTGAATGATTTATAGTCTGTATTTTTATAGAGACAGAGTCTTTTCCTTTATAACCCGTGCACTTATGAAAGAAAAGATTTAGCATTTCATTGGGATGTGGGATGTATCTTTGAGATTATTTTAACCCATCCTTATTTAGAGAAGAGGCCTAAAATGATGTTTCAGACTCAAAAGTTAACAGGGATCTCAAAAGTGGAGAGGTCCTAGTTTCACATTCTAATCTCACTGATACATAGCAGCTGTTAGTTGCCCAGAGTTTTAGAGACACAGTAGATTATGAAGATGGAGAAAGTTGGAACCCTTCTTCATCCAAAGGAAGAACCTCCTGTTTAGCTATACTCTGTTGTTACTGTGCAGGAATATGATCCTGTTTTCAGTCTTTTATTTCTCAGAAGAATATAGAATTATAACTAAACTGTATATGTATTCATTTTGTTTGAGCAGATTAGTTATGTGTATATGAAGCATTTTTTTTTAAACAAAGAAGGGATTTAGTTAATTTCTGTGGCTCTGCCTTACTTAGCCCTGGTCACATTATAAACATAATAGGAGAATTACTCTAGAATTTGTTGTACGTCCTCCAACTGTATGTTCTTTTTTTCGTGATACCCATCCAATCACTGTTTCTCACCAGATTCCATCTCATTTGGAAAAAAAAAATTTAAGAGACCTTACTATCTTGCCTAAGCAAGATAGTCTTGAACTCCTAGGTTCAAGTGATCCTTAGGGTCAGCCTCCTGAGTAGCTGGAACTTTGATCTAGGGCCACTGTGCCTGACTACTTGATTTGAATTTTTAATGGAAATGAAATAATGACGGGGTAGATAGCCCCAAAATGTTTAACATAATTTGCTATTTTCAAATTTTAAAACTGCGTAGTTAAAAAATACAGCAGTTATTAGTGCTAGCCAAAAAATTATTGAAATGAAGCATAGTATTAAAGCTGTGTCTTAAAACAGTGGCAAGTGTGATAGGGAAGCTCTAAATGTAATATCACTACTTTAATATCAGTATCAGATGAGGTGTTGAACAATTTTTACTTACGTTTCAGATTGTTAGAGACGGATAGTAAGTCTTTAAGATCTGTAAATGGCTCTAGAAGAAACAGTGGCTCTTCTCTTGTATCAAGTTCATCAGCTTCCAGCAATCTCAGCCATCTTGAAGAAGATTCTTGGATTCTTTGGGGAAGAATTGTTAATGAATGGGAAGATGTACGCAAAAAGAAGGAAAAGCAAGTTAAGGTATTCATATTTATTTTGAAATTTTCCTCTTAATCCCAGAGGTCAATAGAGGATTAGAAAAACAAACGTTCTACTAATTTCCAAGCTATGTAACAAGTTTTCTTTATGTTTTCAATTATTTGTGTCCCATAAAAGTTCCCATTTGTAGGAATTAGTTGTTAGAGATCTTAGCAATGTAGAAATATACAGCTGAAGATTATTTTAAAAATGAAATTTCCTGATTTGTAGATGTAGAAATAAAGTTGTGACCTCCTAAATCCATGAATCATCAGTGTTTTACTTTTTTGCATTCAACAGACCTTTAAAATATGATGAGTTTGATGTCATCACTCATAGTTTTACAGACCATGAAGTCCTTGATATGTTTAGAGCCCACATTCTCAATGAAATGACAGGAATTTATTTATACTGTGCTTACCAGAACGGGATATATAAAAGGGCCAAATTATAGACTTAGTTAAAAAGCTTACCAGTTTAACTTTAAAAAAGTATCTTAATTTTATTATAAAATTAACTTTATGAATTACAGATTTGACAACAAGTTTCTACTTCATTCGAGTACCTCTCCCCAATAAGTCTTCTTTGGCTTGTAAAGTATGAGACTTAAATGGTTCATTTAACATTTTTTATTTTATTTTTATTTTTTAGGAACTTGTTCGTAAAGGGATACCCCACCACTTTAGAGCAATAGTTTGGCAACTTTTATGCAGTGCACAAAGTATGCCAATTAAGGATCAGTATTCAGAACTCCTAAAAATGACCTCACCTTGTGAAAAACTGATCAGAAGAGACATTGCTAGAACTTATCCTGAACACAATTTTTTTAAAGAAAAAGATAGCCTTGGACAGGAGGTTTTATTTAATGTAATGAAGGTAAGTTCAATTTATCCATTTTTAAAAAATGAAATTAACTTTCAAAACTTTGAAATGCTACATTTCTCATACTGAAGTGTAAATTCCCAAACACAATAATCAGTTGCTTTGGCACTAAAATTGATTTTTAGCTTAATTTCTGCTTTAATTCAGACACAGATTTACTCTCCAGTTTGAGAACTTAATAGAAATTTATTACATTATTCATTATGTTGACAGAAATAAAATAGCCTACTAATCACATGCTATAAAGAGGTCCTATAAAAATAACTTACTTTCTGTAAGGTTCACCTAGACTCCTATCATGATTATTCATATAGCCAGCAAATTGTCATTCTTTCAGTGGCCAAGTGTTCATAAGACTGTGTGAGTACTTGAGAGGTTTGCCATTCTGACTTTTCTTTCAATATTGCTTTTGTCTTTTTTATGGTTTTTTTCTTCATAATCTCTGTGAAATACTGATTTGGTGTTCAATTATTTGTTTTGCTAGTGTTTTACCTTAACTGTGCTCTAGCTTTATCTTTATCAGATATAAATTTTACTTGATTTTAAGGCTTTTGTACATTATAAATTTCTTTATTTTCTTTGCTTGCAGGAGTTGCCATTTTTTAATTGTGAAATTGTGCAAAGGAAATTTTATGTTTTTTTTTTTTTTTTTTTTTGTCTTTTTCCTTTTTATTGGTACTGGGGATCGAACTCACGACTGCCTGCTTGCAAGGCAGACAGTTATGCCGCTGAGCTAAACCTCCAGCTCCAGGAAATTTTATGTAATAGAATGTTTGTTTTTAAAATAGGATAACAGCTGGGCATAGTGGCATGTGCCTATAACCCCAGCACTTGGGACCCAGAGGCAGGAAAATCACCATGAATTTGAGGCCAGCCTGGGCTACATAGTGTGTTCCCGGCCAGCCTGAACGATGTAATGAGACCTTGTCTCAGGAACCCACAGCCCCCTACAAAAAGGGTTAACATCTGTAATAAGGAAGCAAAAGTTTTCCTAAAAGAAGCTTTAATCTACTTGTTTCTGCAATTTAGGTTTTTAGAGAAGGAAAATGTAATATATAATATTGAAGTGTTTTGAATACCAGTTTTTACTTTCAGGCGTATTCTTTAGTGGATCGTGAGGTTGGTTACTGTCAAGGAAGTGCTTTTATAGTTGGATTATTGCTTATGCAGGTAAGTTAATACAGGTATTGTCTTAAGTTCTTTATTAAGATTGGGGTGGAGATATAAAAATCTATTTTTATTAAAAACAAATAGATATTGGGTATTTTTCCACAGGCATAGTTTGAATAGTTATTTCTTAGTTTGCATTTTGAAAGAGGAAAACATTAAAATGAGTTAAAATAATAGTTTGTCACCAAATGAAATTTTAATTTTTTTTTTTTTTTTTTTTGTGGATACTGGAGATTAAACCCAGGGCCTTTCACACTGCAACTCTAAGTTCTACCTTCTCAACTTCTTGATATATAAAACTATACCAAAATATTCTACTAAAACCTCTATGTGTCTTTAAATATTATTTGTTAACATTTAATGAGAAGTTATCTTTTCCCAAGCTATGTGAACATGATTAAAGTGTTAGTATGAAAATCCTATTTAATTTATATGACATCTTTGGAAATTTATAAAGGAATTTTGTGTGTCATAGAGTTATGAGTTTGTTGTGCATATTTGTATTTGGAACGTAAATGCTTTTTACTGCTTCAAGGATTTATAACATTGGCAGTGACTTATTTGGAAATAGGTTAGGGTTAGGATGTTTTCAGAATTGAGGGTCAGGAAGGACAATTTAGCTTTTTAAATTTAAATTTTTTTATTTTAAAAACATTAAAACCGAACAAAATGATAAAACAAAACAGTGATATAGGACTTCAAAGAAAGATAGTAGGAAATAAACAGTGGCTACTATAATATATCTGGTTATCTTCAAAATAGCTGTCCAGATCATTGGACACGTTAAAACTAAACAAAAGAAAAACAGAATAAAGCCAAACAAAACAATGAAAATGATAAAGGAGTTCAAAACAAGACAATAGGAAATTAACACTGGCTACCATAATACATCTTGTTATCTTAAAAATAGTTCGCCATCAGTCATAGGTATGTAAAATTGACCAAAGAATACAAAAACTAAGTTGAAACTTCAGGTGTGTAACCCCTAATTTCTATTATGTCTGTGTCTCCTGAATTTGTTCAGTGGTGGCTGGAGGTCTAAGATTGTGTTTTGTTCATTTGTGTTGACATTTTCCTGTGTTTGTCTGAGTCAGCCCATGACTGCATCCCAGGTGTTTCCTGCATTGGCTGCCAGTTCCCTAGTGTAGGGGATTGTGCTAGGCACCTGGATTCCTCCTATTTGGGGTTTCTGTAGTGGTGGAGAGGTGAGGTGTGGCTCTCCCATGCTCCCCTTTTGCTGACAGAACGTTGGGGCACGGTTTCTTCTCTGAGCCCATTCTTCCTGTTCTACATCTCATCCTCCCCTTAAACTCTCCATGAATTTAATCATATGCTGATTGTATACATACATGTGCTGCAGGTGCTGGGTAGTTCACTTTCTCCCATCAGGAGAGAGTGCTCCACGTAACCTCAGCTTTCATTTATTTTCCCATTAAGGTCTGGAAAGGTCACCAGCACTGGAGCTTCTCTCCTTTTGGAACTGGGGTGTACCATCCTCCCAGCATGGGCACATGTCCTTTTTATCTTCATAGAAGTCCTTCAGAACCAAGTCTTTAGGTTTTTGTTTTTTGTTGTTTGTTTGTTTTTTCATCAAACCTTCAATACACAATTGACTAAGTTTTGGGGTCACCAGGTTGCCGGGCCTCTCGTGGCCAAGCCTCAGAGTATGGGTTCTGTTCAGGCCTGTATTAGGCTCGAAGCTATTTCTTTCTAATGAACTGACTGTTGCATTTCCAAAATTCTGAAATCACCAACAGATCCTAGAAAGACTTCTCTTTGAATTCCTGTTTGAAACAAGCAGCTACAACAAATTTGCAGGTCTTGATTGAGAGACACCAATTTAGCTTTTTGTTTAGTCTCAGAATTTTAGTCCTGAAAATGAACTTTGGAGATAACTTGATTTGAATCATGTAGGCTGGGTTTTGCATCTCAGTTCTGCACTAGCTCAATGAAATTGGGCTAGATTATTTAACCTCTCTCTGACTCTTAATTTGTGTTATCTGTATTCAGACTTATTGTGAGGCTTGTATGAAATAATGTGTAGTATAGTATTTGGCACATAGTAGACATGCAACAAAAGTTCAGTGACTTGCCAAAATCATGCAACTTGGTGGATAAAAGCAGAATAGGAATTAGGAACTTGTTTCATAATACTTTAGTTTCTCAATTTTTCAATTTATCTGAGGTTTGAAACTCTTAAGTATCTCTCTCTCTCTCTCTCTCTCTCTCTCTGTCACACACACACATACACACACACACACACACACACACACACAGAGCCCAGGGCCTTGCACATTTGATTTACCATTGCTGCACTGTGCTAGACCCCCTCTGTACATCTTTTTTGAGAACCATAAACCTGCTGCCAGAGACTGGTATATAATGAAAGTGCCTAATTTTTATTTTGTGTTAAAAGTACTACTAGTGGATGTTATATTGACCTTTTTTTTTTTTTTTTTTTTTTTGAGATAGGGTCTCACTATGTAGTTTAGGCTGACCTCAAACTCAAAGAGATCCTTCTGCCTTAGCCTTCTGAGTGCTGAAGGTGGATTTAGGTCATGATTAACATAATACAAAACTATGTCTTTCATTATTGAACTTCTTATTGTCAGTCTAGTGATTTCTGTTTTGCTTTCATATTAACTCCAAAATAACTTGTAGAAGTCATCTCTACTGAGCAACTAAAGGATAGTTTTCCCCTACTTTGGTGAATCTGACAAGTGCCCTAATTGTCTTAGTTAGATACTGTAAGCAGCTATCAGACCTTCTACCGTGATTCTGCAGGTAGTCATGGTATGGTATTTACTTCAAGGAGCACCACCATTGAATTTATCAGTGGCATTTCCGTGATGGGTTGACCTGGCTTGTATTGTCTCTGACAACTAATCTTCTGCCACACTAACCTCTTAATAGTTCAGGGTTATGGGGTAGAAAGAATGGTGGAACCATATTCAAAAACTATGTCTGTTCTAAAGGTTACGCTTTTATGGCCCCATGCTATTTTGTCTCCTACAACTTTGTTTAGCAATGTAACTCAGTCTGAAGAAATTTACCAAGTTTATGTATATTGTATAAAAATGATTAAAATTGTTAGATATATATGTTTATATCTCTTCTATAAAATTAGATATTTTAATGCCCATTAGACCTTTAGAAGAGACAAGTTTTGTTTTTTTTTTTAATTGGCTTTATATTATAGGCAAAATATGTAGCAGCACATTGCTCTAGGCCTTAGTTGTCATGGTTTCTAATAGGAAAGAGTGACTTTCATACTTTCTAATAGGAAAGAGTGACTATCAAACAGCAAGAGATTGCTCTTCATATTTATGTGTGTCACTTAGTCTGTTAGTCAAGCCACTCACCTTATTTTTAAAACATCACCATTAAAAAAACCCTCCCCCTGTTCTCATATCAGTATTCTTGCGTGAGAAGAGGATGAATGAAAAGAAACTATTTGGTACACAAGAAATTCTTGCAAGGTATGAAAGGGAGATTAATTGACCCAGTCACACCTTGTCTGGCTGGGAAAGGGGGAACGTGGAGGAAAGAAGTTGGTAGTAAGATTTTGTAAAATGAGGATGTGCGAAGCCACCAGGGTATTTTGATGAGTGATGGGAAATGTTCTAATTGTGCTTTGAAATATTGAACATAATGTATATCAGACAGTATTAATGCTGTGTGGAGGAGGACTGTAGGGAGAGGGAAATGCGAGGGAGGCAGCAGAGTGACCAGCAAGGAAGCATTTGCAATATTCAGAAAATAGACTACTCCTTCTCTGTGGTGGCTTGGACTAGGTGTTTGGAGTGAGGTCTTGATTCCTGAAATTGAATGTAGAGTTGACAGAATTTAGTGATACATTGAATGTGAAGTAAAAGTGAAAAAGGTATCAGTAATGACTCTTGAAGATTTTTGAGCAAAAGTTTGGGGGCAGCAAGGAATGGCCGAGTAGGAAATGAGGTGTGTGAATTTAAGTGTTTATTGAACATCCACATGGAGCTGTTAAGTGGGCAACCTTTCAGTTTTTTTGTGTTTTTTGAGACATTGGCCTGCTGTGTAGTTCAGAGTAGTCTTGAACTGATTATATATCCCAAGTTGGCCTCAAATTTGTGGCAATCCTCCTGCCTCAGCCTCTTAAGGATTACATGGGTGTACCATCATGCCTAGCTAGTAAGTGGGCAATTGGTTGTTTTTTTTTTTTTTTTTTTTTTTTTTGGGTACTGGGGATCAAACTCACAATCTTATGAGAACCGAGAAGGAAGTTTAAAATTAGAGTAATTGACTTTGGAACATAATGCATATCAGACAGTATTAAAGATCCATTGAAATTAGTGGTCTTGAATTCAGAGTGAAACCAGCCAGCATGGTGTCGGGGTTTTTTTTTGTTGTTGTTGTTTGTTTGTTTTCTTTTTCTGCTGTCACTCAGTGTTGCCTAAATCTTAAGTGTAGACTTGAATTTATCTAAGGATAGAGAGAGCAGGAGGGAGAGAGAGTAAGGAGAAACCATTGGCTAACCATTGGCTCTTTCTAATACTGTGGGAGAAAAAGTAACTGCTGAAGAGGAGAGCCACATTTGAGTTAAAAGACAAAAAGAATATTTTGTTTATTAAGCTGCCACTGAGCTAAATCCCTGACCCATGGCTGCGTTGAAGGCAAGAATAATGTTTTGTCATTTGCAACAGTTACCTTAGAGATTTTTGGGTTACTGTAATTGGTACTTTAAAATCCCAAATGAGGATCATCTGAAAACTTTTTTTGTACTTCTTTTAACAGTTAATGTTATAACATATCACCTCTCAGTGTCTTTAAGACTTTTCATGTTACTTAAGGTAAAAGTAAAAAATTATATAACCTCTAAAGCCTATATATTTTGATTGCCTGTTATTTCTCCTGCAGAACCTAACCTCTCTTCATAACACGGTTACTACTTTTTGTTTGTAGAGTAACGTAAATATAATCTGATTTCATTAGGTTTTCATTCTTTTGTTTGGCATATTCTAAGGAGTTCTTACATAGATTTTATTTTCATCAAGGGGTTAGTATGACTGCTAGTTTGCTAGTCTCCTGTTTGCTGTTCCTTGAGCCTGCCAACATGATTGTATGTTAGGGCCTTTATACTCTTCTGTTTTCTAGGCGTATTCTTTTCTCAGATTCTGCCTCACTTCGTTCAGAATTTTGCTCAGAAAGTTACCTTATGAAGAGATCTTCCCTGACCTAAAAAAGTAGCAGTGTCTCCCCAGCACTGCCTCTTATGTGACTTATTTTTCCACAGATACCTATCTCTCTCTCTCTCTCTCTCTCTCTCTCTATATATATATATATATATATATATAGATAGATAGATATAGATATAGATATAGATATATGATATATATCTATATATATCAGTTTTTTATTTTGTATTGTGCCTATTTCCTGTCTCTATAAATTGCAAGCTCCTTGTAAAGCAGAGATAGTAGTGCTTTTGTCCACTGATACATATATCTTGGAAAAAGAAAAATACCTGACTGTAAAGCAATATTTGTTGGTTGAATTGATGAATTAAGTGAATTGAGGAAGTTAGTCTCACCGGCTGTAAGACTAGTCTGACTGTTCATTCTCAGAATGGGAACCTTAAATCTCCTGATTCTTATTAGTCAGTTCCTTTTGACATTGCTTCATGTGGCATTCAAAGTAGTGTTTATGGTTAGATAGGTCCTTGGGTTAAATATAATTTGGTTTATTTGTGCATCACAGAATAGTAACCTGTGTTAACTTTTTCTTTTAATGCAGATGCCAGAAGAAGAAGCTTTCTGTGTATTTGTTAAATTAATGCAAGACTATAGACTTCGTGAACTTTTTAAACCAAGTATGGCGGAATTGGGCCTTTGTATGTACCAGTTTGAATGCATGATACAGGTAAAAGTGCAGTTTTATATCTTTGTCATCTTGATCTGAATTTATCTAAGGATGGAGAGAGCGGGAGGGAGAGAGAGAAAGGAATCTTAGCAAATTTAATGTTAGAAATGTTAAAGCAGTTGAGAAAGATTGGTGCTCTAATCACATGATCTTTCATTGGTCATTTAATACATGAGTGGGTGTCTTAGTTACTTTTCTCACAGCTGAGACAAAATAAATACCTAACACTTGAAGTTAAAGGAAGAAAAAGGTTTATTTAGCTCATAGTTCAGTCCACATTTGGCAAGCTTCAAGGCAGGGTGGCTTAGCAGAAGGGCATCGCAGAGGAGAACCAGTTCATGGCAACCAGAAAACAGCAAAAGTAACCAAGCAAGGGACCCTAAGAACATCTTTCTGCCCTTTTTACCTTATCCAGACTACTTAGGGTGGGTACCACTCATACTCTTATTTCAAGTGCTCTTGAAGCTACTACTACTGTACTATGAATCAATTACAACATCACACACTCTAGATCCAGCCACCTCTGAAAAAAGCCCCATCTATGACTGCAGGAGGCTTTGGGCTGACATATAGACACAAGCCATAACATTGGGCCTACTTCCCAGTGAGGCGCTATCTGTAGGTAAAATACATTTGGAACTTGGCTGCAGTTTTCTTATTTAAACCTTAAGCATTTTTGCCAGATGTATTGTAACTTACTGCATGCATGCATGAATTTCCTTACCTCCTGTTATATCTTATACTATTAATCTAGTCTGAACTCTGATCAGGGGTTTTATGACACTGATATTGATCAGTTCATTTATTTCATAACTGTCTGTATGTCTCTTTGAGTCCTCTTCTTTGCTTTCCTTTTTTTTTTAACCTGCTTTTTGATAGTCTGTAGTATTTTTGGGCATAATATTTCTATCATTTTATGTTGATAGTTTAAGTGTCAAATGTTTGGTATGTATGAAGATGGAGAAAATAGGAATAGAATCAAAACCAAATCAAAGTACCTTTGAAAAATACGTTATCTTTCTGGGTTTTTATTTTTATATGATATGAACAATTTTAGCACATTTTCTTATAATACAGAGGTGTAAATATTTTCATTTGGTTATCCTTTTCCTGTTGGTCTTACCTTTAGGAATTATGTAGAACTCTTTCTTTTGTATGGTTGGAAGGATGAGATATGTAAATCAGATGAGATCTGTTTTGAATTACTGAAGTACCTTTAATTTGCACAGTTCTCTTATTCCATAAGAAAATAAAAATAGATGATCAGTGGTAGGTGGGACCTAAAGGTTTTTTAGTATAGTATTTCTTTTCTTTAAATTTTTTTGGAAATATTATTTACATAGCTAGACATACCAGCACACATCTATAATGCTAGCACTCAGGAGGCTGAGGCAGTAGAATCACCATAGTTCAAGGCCAGCCTAGGCTACATAGTGAGTTCAAGACCACCCTGAACTGCATAGCAAGACCCTGTATCACAAGAAATAAAAACAGAAAGAAAGAAGAAATGTAGTTTACAGAAAAGGTTAGAGAACATCAGACAGCTGGGTATCCACCAGCAAAATAAATAAATAAAACCATTGCATCACATGACCACTGAATGGTGTTTATAGTTGAGTGGGTACTTGGTTTAAATACAATGCGGCTATAAGTCAGTTTTGCTTATTAATCAGATGTTACAGATATACTGTATTCAAAAGTCCAGGTCTACATGCTTACCTTCTCTTACCAGATAATACTGAATATGTCAGTTTCTATGTCTAGCTGTTTGGTATTATGCTTGATTGGCCCTGCCTGCTTGCCTTTCTTCCTTTGTCTCTGTCTCTCTCTGATTCTTTTTGGAGACAGGTTTTTACTGTGTTGCCCAGTTTCCTAAGTAGCTGGGATTATAGGCATATACCACCCTGCCTGACTGTGTTTCATTTTATCTGGGTTTTGTATTGGCTAATCATAATCACACGATTTAAAACACTAAAATTTAGTGTTTACTAATGTTGTAAATAATTCTTTTTTTTTTTTTTTTTTGGTAGGCTTACAGGCGTGTGTTACGACATCTGGGTTAACTAATTCTTTTATTCCCTTCAGGAACATCTTCCTGAGCTCTTTGTACATTTTCAGTCTCAGAGTTTTCATACCTCAATGTATGCATCATCCTGGTTTTTGACTATCTTTCTTACAACATTTCCACTACCAATTGCAACAAGGATATTTGATATCTTTATGTCTGAGGTAAGTAATGAGCAGGCTAGAACAAGAGGCGAGCAAAGGGCTCATCAAGCTATTACAACAGGGCAGTAAAGGGAGAAATAAGGGATCCCGGGCCCCATGTAAATGGTGTATATGAAAAATCTCATGTAGACATTATTAGAGACCTTTGAGTCTGTCACTATCTCTGTTTATTCTGTAATTCATAGATCAGGAAGCTGAGACTTACAGAAAGGTTTAGGAGCTTGTCCAGTGATGCACACATATATGTGATTATACTAAACAGGATTGAAACATAGGCATTAAAGAGACCCAGCCCTCTTAAATTTGTTTATCACCTCCTCACTGGTACAGTGAGAGTTATGAGAGGTAAAATTTGCTTTATAGTTAATATTTTTGCAGTACGTCTGGTATTTAATAAATAGTAATTAGTATAATTTTATTTTAGTCTGTGAACGCATTGTTAGTGATCCTTCTGTGTCTCTAAACTTAATGTTAATTGTTACCAAGTACATCTTGGGATATAATTTATCTAAATTACTTGTGGACTGGAATAGAAAAACTGTAGGTAACTTACTGATCTGCTATGATTTTCAAGACAAATCTGTCCTGTCACCTCTTTTTTAAATAAAGTTTTTATGGAATGCAGCCCTGCCTGTTTGTCTGTGTGCTGTCTATGTTTGCTTTTGAGCTATTGGAGGCAGAGTTGAATAGTTGTAACAGAGACCTGATGGCTCACCAAGCCTAAAATGTTTGCTCTCTGGCTCTTTAAAGAAAGTGTTTGCCAATCCCTAGTTTAGATTTCTAAATGTTACCTTAGTGTTGTTTTGAATGAATTGTTTTTGATGATGAAGAGTAAAACAAATTTGGTTTCATTTAATTTGTTTTATCAGGGTTTAGAAATAGTGTTTCGAGTAGGATTAGCACTTCTTCAAATGAATCAGACAGAATTAATGCAACTTGACATGGAAGGGATGTTACAGGTAAGTCTGTTCATGATCTCTTATATGCTTTTAGATTTCACTATTAATTAGTTAATAACCACTTAGTGGCACTAAATGGTTCAGTTATTTTTCTTTCATTGTCTCTTAGCACTTTCAGAAGGTCATTCCACACCAGTTTGATGGTGGTCCAGACAAATTAATCCTAGCAGCTTACCAAGTCAAATACAACTCAAAAAAAATGAAAAAGTGAGTATTTTACGTTCTCATTCTAGTGATAAGTACATTTTTCCTCCTTAAGGTTATAGAAATTTCTTTTATTTGGTGATATTATTGGCTTTAGTATAAAAAAGTTAATATCACACTGCTCTTAATAGTGGTTCTTAGTACACTGTGTGTTACCTTTAAACACCTGCTCCCTTCCTTTCCCTGTTGACTGGAGTTAGCGCCTGGTGTTTATTTTTTTATATATATGATTGTGCTATTATTTTAGTGCTGGCGAGAAAGAGAAAACAAGGGAAGAAAGAAAGAAAAGAGAAGAAAGGGAATGAAAGGAAGGAAGGAAACTTGAGGATGAGGGTTCCTCAGTCTTCATGGTAACTGGTTCTCTTTCAGATCTTTTTTTTTGTTCCAGTACCAAGCATCGAACTCAGGACCTCGCGCTTGCCAGGCAGGCACTGTGCAGCTGTGTTATATCCCTGGCTCTTCTTTTTAGATGTTACTACCTTTACAATCCATTCTTTAAAATTTCATTTATCACACTTATCAAACTTCCAATCTCTAGTCCTTTGCTCCCTTATTCATATTATCTCTGTTCTGACCTTAAACACCAGGGCTCAAGCCATCTTTCTGCTTCAGCTTTTTAAGTGCTTTTAAGTACTTAGGACTACAGTGTCATGTTACTATTTCACGCTTCAAGCTTTCTTTTTGAAATACTGATTTGTTGATGAGAGATAGTCACTTAGAGAAAGACTATCTAAGATTAAGGATTTATGTAGTAATTATTTCCACATGGTTGTCTTTATTTTCTCATGAGTTTTTATAAACTAAAAGGTAAATGTAAAGGCTTAATTAGATCAAGACTAAACATTTTCTCTTGGGCACAGTGATGCATGCCTGTAATCCCAGCAATCTTGGGTGCTGAGGTAAGAATATATTAAGTTTAAGCCCAGCTTGGCAATAGTGACTCCTTTTCTAAAAGTAAAAAGGATCGGGGAGGGATGTAGTTTAGTGTTAAGGCTATGAGTTCAGTTTGTTTGTTTGTTTGTTTGAGGCAGGACCAGACTATGTAGTTCAGGCTGGCCTTCAACTCATTTTGTAGCCTAGGCTGGCCTCAAATTTACAGTAATCCTTTTGCTTTAGCCTCCTGAGTGCTGGCATTACAGGTATCTGCCACCACGTCTGGCTTTGGATTTAGTTTCTAGTACTGAAAGAAAAACAAAACAGCACTAATAATGACCACAAAACATAAATGTTAATTCAGGATAATATCTGAATCATTTTTTCCTTCTCTCCCTTTGTCTCTTGTTGCTTTTTTCCTTCTTTTTCTCTCTCTTTTTCTTCCTTTCTCCATATCTTTTGGGTCACCCACTTGACTTAAATGGAGTTTATACTATTAGACTACATAAACCCCCAACTCTGCAACCTTTTTTTTTTTTTTTTTTTTGAGACAGTCTCGTTATGCAGTCCAGGTTGGCCTTGAAATCATTATGTAGCCCAGGTGGCCTTGAACTCAGTGATCTTCTTGCCTCAGCCTCCAGAGTGCTGGGATTACAGGCGTGTACTACCATTGCTGGCAAGAAAAATTTCTTTAGTACTCAGTACTTGTTGACATTGTTTAAGGTGCCAGAAATAAAATAGTAGATTTATAATTTCTCATGAGGTTTGCATCTATATGGTGAGGCATAAATTAAAATTATATCAGATGATGATAGGTGCCATGAAAGAAGACAGTCTGCAGCTGGTGTAGTAACTATTTGCACACCTGTAATCACAGCATTTTGGGAAGCTGAGGAGAGAGGATTGTGAGTCTGAGCCCAGCCTGGGCAACTTACTGATTTAGCAAGACTTTGGTTCAGTTTCTCATTACTGAAAGAAACAAGACAAAAAATAAACAAAACAACAACAACAAAAAACTCCAAAAAACAAAAACCCAGCAACAACAGGAAATGCCCAAAATTTCCAGGTGTAGAAGGCAAGCAGTATAAAAGGCCTGGAGCCAGACATGTGACAAAAGACATTGTGGTTGGGGTTAGTGGAGCAGAGTAGGCTAGGAGGAAGGAGGTAGGACACAGGGGTTGGAGAGGAAATGAGAAGTCTTGTAGCTTGCCCTACTGTTTGAAGAATAGACATAAAGAAGGTAAGGTCAGAGTTCATTGAAGGAGAAAAGTTATTAAGTGTTCAAATAATAAAGGTAAGAGAATAATGAAAACTCGGGTCAGGGTGGGGTAGCAGTCCCCAAGTGTAAATCCAGTAGTTGTTTTTTTTTTTCTTAATCATGTATTTGATATGTTAGCTTTGGTTTATATATAATCACTTATTCCTTTAAAATTTTTTTGTGTATTGATGAAATAAAGTTATATATAGTGTGAAGCATAAAAAAGTACCTGCTCATGAACCCATCACTGTCTGTGTGCTCTCTGCAAGAGGTAATTTCTCTCCTGAGCTTTGGACTCATCACTCATTCTTTTCCTTTTTAGAAATAGTCTTATGTACCTGTCATGCATACTATTGAGCACTATAAAGATTGTATTATTTTGTATAATTTGTGACTTGCATTTATTTTTTATTAACTTTATGTTGATGCAGTTCACTGGTTTTTTGTGTGTGGAGGAGTCATTAATTTTTGATACAGAGTATCACTGTTCTTAGTGACCATTTGAGACATTCTAGATTTGTTTGCTATTAAAATGCTGTGAGTATCTGTAAGAATTTTTCTGTGATGCATATTTAAGGATAGAATTCCTGGGCTGCAGAATAAGCTAGGCTTAATTGAAGTATTTGCCAAAGTAGTACTAATTTTTTATGTTATCCAGCATTGTGTAAAGATCCTCATTGTTCTACTTTGTCATCAGCATCTGATTAATGTTCTTAATTTTGGCTAATTTATTCAATATAAAAACACATTATTTTGGATTTAATTTGCTTTCCCCTGATTGTTAGTAAAAATCAGTATCTTTTTATATTCATTGACCTCATGATTTTCTTCTGTTTTTTCCCTTCCCTTTCTGTTGTAGTATATGTACTTCTTACTTAATGCTCAATAGTTGTTCATGTATATTATGAATAGTAATCCTTTGTCAGTATTAAAAGACAAGTTTCACCCATTTTTGTTAAGTACCATACTTGGAATATATATCAAAGATTTGTATCTATCAGTGATAAAGGTTGATGCCAGTATGATAACTTATTAATATAACCTATAAGAGGTTCCTATGACACATGCTTTAAATTGGTTTATACAGTCTTTTGGGGTCAGGAAATGGTTCAGAGCATGTAATTCTTTCCTGACATTTATCTGTTTGATTATATTTTTCTGGGAGAATTTTGTTTGTTTTTCATTCTACCTATCCTTTTATGATCTGCCTTTTCCTACTTTATAGAAGAAAGACAAACCTGCCACCCATTCCAAATCTTACTATGGTGCATTGCCTTGGGTTGTAAAAATTCTCTAGGGCACCAAACGACGGAAAAATTTTAGAGTGCCTTGATCCTGTAGGAGTGTCTTCTGGTAAAACAAAGCAAGAAAAATTGAATAGAACAACTTCCCTATTTCATTCAGCTGACAAATAGGAAGGCTGCCTTATGTTTTGAATTCAAAAGTAAAATGGTGATCATGGGACAAATATTAACACATTAATGTGAGTTCAAAAGTGAAGACAGACTTTCAATAACAGAAAATTAACTTTACACATTGTTTTAATGACAATAGCATTGTCTCTGCCTGTTAGGTCATAATGAATATAAGTTGTTCAGAAATTACATAAATATCATTTAAAGTCAGTGGAATGTGCTTTAAAAAGCACACATGAATCGCATCCTGTGAGACTATATAGACTATTTAGGGTAAAAGTAATTTTAGAATATGAGCAAATCTTTTAACAAATATATTTTCTTATAACAAAAATACAAAGACCATGAACATGGTGGGGTAGGAAGATGGCAAACCACATTTCATATTATCTTCTGGAGGTGATACCTGAGTGTATTCTTCTCTTTTTCTTTCTGTCTTTCTTCTTTCTGTTTCTCTTTTTTCTTTCAACAAGAGTCTTGCTACATAATCCAGGCTAATCTTCAACTCATGGTGGGCATGAACTCATGGCAGTTCTCTTGTCTCTGTCACCATGACTCTACTTAAGTATGATTTTGAAGACCTTTATTTCTGATTGCTAGGGTTATGTGGTGAGTACAACAGAAAATCTCTGCTGATAGGAAACTTACAGAAATGTAGAATACTGATACAAAACAAACAGAGGTGTTATGCTAGTCCATGAAAGTACCACAAAGGAAGCAAAGCAGGATGAAACACAGAATGATGGACTGTTCTTTTATATAGGGCATTCAGATATAGGCATATGGGCTGATATAGTAGTAATGAATTGACACCTAAGAAAGGTCAGAGAAGTAGCTATGTGACTATTGGTGGGAAATGTTTTCCATAATGAGATATAAGTGTAAAGTCTGAGACAAGGATGTCTAAATGATACATTCAAGGATCAGCATGAAAGCTAATGTCCTTGGAATAGTGTAGGTAAGTAAAAATATGGAAGACAATGAAATCAGAGACACAGAACAAAAAATTTTTATATTTTGTGTACCTAGATTCACGAGTTGCTTACAGTTTGCCTCATTTGTTTTCTTACCCTTTCTGTCTCATAGATATGAATGTTTGTGTTTGTATAAGGAAAACCCTATACATTTTTGAGGATCCATTTGAGAATAGATTAAGATACTGTACCTTTTATCCTTAATAGCTACTGAAGTAGCTGTACTACTATACATAGCACATGTTTGAACTTTATCACTTGTCTGAACAGTGGCTTTTATAGCCATCTCTCCAACTCCTTCTTTCTACCAGTGCCACTTCCTGGTCCATGTTCCTAGTCCAAGATCATGTATTTTGTATAGTTATCCATTTAATCAGTGTTTCATCCCTAGCCATTTATTTGTTTATTAAACACTGAGACAGGGTCTCACTGAATAAGTTACCTAGGCTAGTTTGAATTTGTGGTTCTCCTGCCTCCCAGGATGCTGAGATTATAGGAATGTACATCACACCCAACTTGACATTGATGTAAAGAGCATACAGATCTGTTATTTTGCAGAAAATTCTGAAGTTTCAGTTTTTCTGAGGTTTTCTTAATGTGATTCCAGCTATGCATTTTTGTTGCTTTAACCAATTCATTAGGGTGGTACCCGCCAGGTTTCACTACTATAAATTTATTTCACCTCTTGTAATTAGTAATGTGTAGCAATATACTTTGAGATTATGTAATTTTAATCCTCTTCCTTTACCAGATTTTCCTTACCAATTTTATACCCATTATTTTCTTTTTGGGACTCAAACTCAGCACCTTATGTTTGCCAGGCAGCACTGTCCCATTGAACTATATCCCCAGCCCTATTTATTATTTGCTCACTGTATTCTTTTTTTTTTTTTTTTTTTTACTTATGATGAGGCATTCTACTATACGGAAGAGCTTTGTCCTTCCTCCATTCATTCAGTCATGCATCTCAATGTGAATTCATAGATTCTTACTCAGTAAGTTATGACTCATTACTATATCAAATTGTCTCTAGTTTGTCCAGTGGAAACTTCTTTACTCTAGCTGCTCTGCCCTTTTGACATGTTCCCATATGTCTTTGAGAATTTCTTTTCCTTAGGTCATCAAAATATTTCAACCTCACTATGGTCCTTCCCTGCTGCTGCTCTGGGATATGTCATTTCTAAAAAGAGCTTTGAAAACCTTGGAAATTTGGTCTAAAGTCAATGGGTATCACTGTGTAGTATAACTGTAGAAGTGACATGATTCAAACAACATTTTAAAAAGACCATTTTAATAACAGGTCGCCGAAAAGATTCAGTTATTAAACTGTCAGTAGAGAGCATAATTACAAATTTCTTCTAATAATTTAGACAAACCACAGTGAAGGCCTAAGAACACTTTTTAATGAATGGAGAACAAAATAGTAACTGACAAGCACTTGCTTAGCCAGGTGATCCCACTAATTATTAATATTGACACCAATATCAGTATTGATATATGGTTGAGAGTTTGTACCCTTAATGTATGAGGACAATGGCACTTAACCTTTGTAGTTTTCCTCTGAAGATATTAATACCAATATAATCATAAGAATAACATGAGATATCACATTTGAGGGACATTCTACAAAATTCTTGACTAGTACTCAGCACTATGTAGGTCATCAAAAACAAACCATCACTGCCAAAAGGAACTCAAGAGACATGACAACTGAATGTTATATGGTATCTCAGAATAGACAAAAGATGTTAGGTAAAAACTAATGAAATCCGTATGTGAATTTTGGTTAATAATGTGTTCATATTTGTTCATTAGTTGTACCAGTATAACAATCTATTATAACATGTAACAGGAAAGTAGAATGAAGTACATGGAAACTGCTATCTTCACAACTTTTTGGAAATCTGAAACTGTTGGAGAATAAAGAACTAAATAACACTTTAGTGAAGATGAAGTAGTAATGGACTTTAAGGCATTGTTAGGGAGGTGAATTGAACATGTTTCATTTCTTGACTTGTGAAGCAAAGATTCAGAGATGATTCCTGGTACTTCATTTTATGTGAGTTACAATGACATTTCACATAATATTTAACAATAACTTCTTCAAAGTGGTCATTTGCAAAAGCTGTGTACTTGTTTTAACAGTGCAACCATTGTTCAAAATATTTTGAAGTTTTTGGAATCCTCTCTAAATTCTTTTGGTTGCATTTCTTAATAGGAGTCATTGTAGTAGAGCAGTGTAACCTTAGGCAAGTTTATAAGCCTCAGAATAGGTGTAGCAATGTATACTGAGTTGCTGTGAGGTAACTGATGATACGTATGGCAGTAGGTTTTTGTCCCTTGAAGAAGAATTTGATTTTTTTTTGGTCAGTACCAGGGATTGAACTCACGACCATGTGCTTACACAGCAGGTGCTTATGCCGCTGAGCTAAATCCCCAGCCCCTCCTTTTTTTATTTTGAGACAAGGTCTCGATATGCAGTTCCAGCTAGCCTTGGGGCTCACTTTGTAGCCCAGACTGGTCTCGAATTTTCAATGACTCTCCTGCCTCAGCCTCCTAAGTGCTGGGATTACAAGAGTACACCACCATGCTTGACAAGAATTTATTCTTTCAAAATAGCTTTAAATTATTTGAAGTCTGGGCTGGTTGATACTTGCAGTGAATTTGGTTGTGTGCAAGATAAATAATTGGAACTATTTTTGGTCTGTACATTTAAAAAAAGATAATGTGTAATAGTGTTGGAAGAATAGTATATTGCATTCATTTGTCATGTTTTACTCACCATCAGGCAGCGACAGTTACCAGTGTTTTCTGAGATGGAATTTCACTATGATTTTTTGGCTGGTCTGAACTCACGGGCTCAGTGGATTCTCCTGTCTCAGGCTCTCAAGAGCAGCTGAGATTATGAGTGTGTGCTACTGGTCCTGACACCTTTTTATTATTATTATCATTATTTTTTTAAGTATTTTGAGACAGAGTCTTGTTCCTCCTATATGATCCAGGTTGGCTTCAAACTTGCTGTATACTGCAGGCAGACTTCAAACTTGCAGTTTTCTTGCTTCAGCTTCCTGAGTGTATGGATTTTAGGTGTGTACCACCACAACCTGGCTCTGACCTCTTTTCTGTTTTCTTAATCCTTCTAAACAGAGCTGGGCAGTTATTTTGTAGGATGTTCTTTAATTTGGTTTTGGTTGATTTTTTTTTTTTCTTACTTTGAGGATGAACATTTTTTTTAAAATTTGATTTTGAAAGTATACAACAGAACAAGACAGAATAAAGCCAACTAAGATTGTACAGTGAAATTGGTACAGAACTTCACAGCAGGTTATCGGGATAACAGTAATAGGTATCACAGTATATTTTGTTATCTTTATAATAGTTGTTCTTTCAATCATGTATATCAAATTGAGATGAAATATGGAACACTATAGAACTGATCAAAACAGAATATTGAATAGAGCAGTACCACTAATCAGAAAAGAGCAAAACAGTAATAAAAATATTTGCCTTCAAAGAGATGGTAGAAGGAAGTCCCTCTTATTTGCTATGGTCAACCTCCCCGGATATGCTCAGATTTCTGGTTCCCATTTGCTAATGGGCGGTGCGGGGGAGGGAGAAGGGGGTTTGGGGAAGTGGGATATTTGACTCTAGGCCGTGCATCAGTAGGTTCACTATTGCTTAGCAGGGAGGCAGGCTGGTTGTTTGGTTTCACAGCGTCCTAAGTTCCAACATGGTGTGGATCTCAGAAGCTGCTACTGGTTCTCCCCCTGAAAGGGTCACAGTCTGCCACATTGCCACTGCTTACCAGGGAAGGGAGATGTTTGCTTGGCTTCCCAGTGTCCTAAGTTTCAACATGGCGCAGATCTCAGGAGCTGCTACTGGTTCTCCCCCTGGAAGGGCTGCTGTCTGCCACACTGCCACCGATTACCAGGGAGGGGAGGTGCTTGCTTGGTTTCCCAGTGTCCTAACTCAGGAGCTGTTGCTGGTTCTTCCCCTGGAAGGGCAGCAGTCTGAGGATGAACATTTTTGAGTGATATCCAGCAGTGATAGCCTTTTCTCAGGACATCTTTACAGGACTGCATATTCAATATGCATTATTATGACTCTAATCTCAATCATTAAGTGCTATCTGCTAGGATTCAGCACTATAAATTTACTGGTTTTTGTCAGTACTTTCTAAACATTTAAGGAAATACAATCTGAGGTTATTCATAAACTTTAGTCCCCTAATTTTAGTACTCACTAGTGTTTCTTGCCTGTGGCACTTAACGTGGCATTCTGATGATCATTATATTTCCCTCATTACTTCTGTAAATTTAGTTGAAGCTTCTGTAAGGAAGAGTTGTCCTAAGTTGTTTTTTTTGTTTTTGTTTTTTGAAACTCAACAAGTATTTTAAGATAGTGCAAGTACCAGGATTTTTATGGTTAAAAGCCTATCCAGCTATACAGTTGTGGTCAAATTTGATGGAAAAGGAAAATTGGTTATTTTGTAAATACAGAATTTAGTACAGTTTCATGTTTGGTGTTTTATAAATTCACTTCTTTACTTTTGAATGGCTTTTAGTGATTTGTAAGGTAATTTTTTGGGTAATAACCCGTGAAGCTATTCATTTTTCTAATATTAAATATCTTAAGTATAACCTGTGGGAATTTATTAATTTATATTTTAAAATTTTATAATTAGTGGCTGATTTTTGAATGAAAACATACCTTTAATTTTTTTGTTCTTCTTCTTCTTAGGCTCGAAAAAGAATATACTACAATAAAAACTAAAGAAATGGAAGAGCAAGTTGAAATTAAAGTAAGCATTTCAGGGCTTTTTTAAGTGCTAAAGAGAAATTGGTTAAAGTCCATTAATTGGCACTAGATGTTCGTTCATGTTTATCTCTTATTACCATCTGCAGTAAATTTAGAAATAAAACTTATTTATTGACCACCTTCTATATTAAAGTTGAAAATAGAGATTTTCTAAAAGTAAGATAATGTGACTGTAATGACTTTCATTCTGTTGTGAAAAAGGGTAGATTTGTCAGTGGCAGGAGAGAGAAGTTCCATGAGAGATAAAAATACATTCCATTTAATTTAATTGTAATCTTGGCAGAGCAGATAATCTCTAGCACTTTGTATTCTGAAACTAGCAGCAGATGATTTGTGGCAGACTAATTAATTATGGTTGCCTGAGAGTGCCAGGAACTTTGACTAACGCAGTGTTGCTTAAATTTAAGCAAAGGTTATATTTCAGAGCTACTTCTCAGGGAGAAAAGTAGATTTTTAAATTTGGAGGACATATAAATATCCTATATGTATCCTAACATTCTTTTCTGTATCTTTTTGTAAAGTTCTTAAATTGAATGTCCTTGTCACTGTCAGACCTGGCATTTTGGAAAAGCTTTTTGACTTTTGTCTTAATGCCTCTGGAAGAGAATGATGAGTGAATGATAATTTATGTACTCTTGATTAGCTGATCCAATCTCTAATTTTATCTTCCCTCAAAAAAATAAAAAATAAAGGCCAGAGATAAAATGGCTTCTGTTGAATAACTTCTTTGCTGCCTTTTAAAATTTTTTTGAATGTGTCTGATTTTTGATCTGGACCTAGCAAGACATCAGAAGACTACCTGTATACAATTTGTTAGTGGAGCATTGTTATAAAATGCTACTCCTTCTGCCCTTAGAGTCTCTTTTACAAGGGAATGGGTTCTTTAACTGCTCCCTTTTGCCTTGGTCTTTCTCAAAAGCTTTGGAGACAGTTTCCTGTTTTTCTGTGTGAATCCTCTGTCTCCTCAGTGCTGTCTTCCCTCTTTGTCGATGCTTTGTTTGCACTTCTATACCTTACCAATGAAATCAGTATGTTTTGTCTTGTGTTATCTTTTTTGTAACCCAGGCTAGCCTCAGACTTGTAGTGATCCTCCTGCCTTAGCCTCTTGAGTGCTGGAATTACCACCATGCCAGGCAGAAAACAGTATTTCTATTTTTCTTTCATTTTTTGTTTGTTTTCTGAGATAGGTCTCACTGTGTAGTTCAGGCTGGTCTTGAGCTCATTATGTAGCCCCAGCTGACCTCAACTTGTAGTGATCCACCTTCCTCCCAAGTGCTGAGATTACAGGTGTGTACACCACACCTAGCTCTGTGTTTTTCACAGAGAGAAAGGATGCCTTTAGATGTCCCCTGCTCTACACATTTTTTTTTCATCACCCAGGTGCTTCTCTGCCATTTGCTTTTCTGTTAAATGCCATGCAAAAAGGCAGTATTATATCACTGCATTTCAATCTACTGAAGTAAAATGTATCCCATCCTTATGAGCAGGCAGAAAGTATAGATAACCACACATGATGAATATTTGGAACTGCAAAGCAAGTCTGTAAAGATGGGGGTGATGCATGGTAGTATATATGTGTAATCCCAACACTTGGGAGACAAAGGTACAAGAATCACACATTTGAACTAGCGTGGGCTACATAGTGAGTTCAAGGTCAGCCTAGAGTCTGTGGGAAGGCCCTTTCTCAAACCAAACGCCCATGTGCCACACGGAGGCCCACTCACCCCATCCCTTTGAGGATGGAGAAGCCATCCTGTTCATTTCACCATGTTATATTTTTGGCAAGGAGAATGAGTTCTATGAACAAGCCTTGCTCTTTAGGAAATTTCTTATGGAATTAAGTTATATGGGTATAGAAAAACCAAAAGACATTTTCAGAAAAAAAAAATCCACAGCAAACTTCAGCTTGTTTTTTTTTTTTTTTAAATCGTTTTGCTGGGAATGGTGATGCAAGACTATAATCCCAGCACTTGGGAGGCTGAGGCAGGAGGACCACTGAGTTTGAGGCAGTTCTGGGCTGCAAAGTGAGTACAACTGCATAGTGAGCAGTGAACTGTATAGTGAGACCCTGTCTCCAAAACAAATCAAAGCTTTGTTTTGGGGGGAAAGTTTTACTTCATATGCATGACCAAATTCCTTTAATACAGTGATAATTTTTTGTCACTGTGACAAATTCCCTGAGAGAAATCAACCTTAAAGAAGAAAGTTCTGTTTTGTCTCATGGTTGTTTGGCCCTACATCTGTAAGTCTGTAGTAAAACACAGCATTGTGATGGGGAGCATATGGTGCAGCCACACTGCTCATCTCATGGCCCCATGACCACAAGGAAAGAAAGAACTGACTTTTATAATAGAGCAAATCCATTGAACTGTGACTGTGATTGAATTAGTACCTTATCATCAGAGCCTCATGATTCAAGCATTCCCTTAAGGCCCCACCTCTGAACACCGCGCCACTAGGGACCACACCTTCAACACAGGGACTTTTGGGGCACGTTTAGGATCCAGATTATAACACTATGTGTTTCAGAGAGGTGGCATAAAATTATTTATAGGAAAGAATTTGGAATAAAAAAGTTACTAAGTTAGTGGAATTGATCAAGTATGCTCCTCTCAAAAGTATCTGTTTCATCTTTATAGTCTTATTTTTGTATAGTTCTAATTCCATTTGCATCATTCCTCAGGCCCCCTAAAGGACAAAACCAAAGTGGTTTGTGAATGACTATACTGTTTTTACTTTGAGTGAAACTGGTTTTTGACTTGGATCTGATAATTTATCTTAGTCATGCTCAGATGACCACCAACCATTTTTTAATTGAACCTTGTTGTAGGGTAGCAATTGCCACTTTTTACCTCACACTTCCTCCTTTCCCTGCATTTTTTCAAAGGCTTAGGTTTGTTAAATTAGTGCTTGCTAAGGTTTTTGTTTGGTTTTTGTGGTGCTAGGGAACACAGCCTTGCAACTAGTGTCTTCTTGCCTTGTCTAGGTCTTCCTCAGATGCCTCTAGGGCAATAATTTTGTACCTTTCTTTTTCACAAGCAAATGGTGTGATCAACATATCATTTGAAGTTTGGATATAGAAGTGTAAAATTAGCCCTGGGTGTTGTGAAGTCTGTTGTTTTTAATTATTATTATTATTATTATTATTTTTGTCTTTTTCCTTTTTATCGGTACCAGGGATCGAACTCATGACTGCCTGCTTGCAAGGCAGGCGCTTATGCCGCTGAGCTAAATCCCCAGCCCCTTTTAATTAAATTTTAATTAAAGTTCTAAAACCTTCGAGTATTATACTCTGGTCATATTGGTTAAAAAAAAAAAAACCTTCGAGTAGTTACCTTCTGTTCTAATTGTTACATCTGTCATTGAATTCATTGTTCAAGTTATGACTCTTAAGTTTTTCCCACATCTTCTTTAAAAGGACTATAAGATTTTATTTTATTTTTGGTACCGGGGATCAAACTCACAACCTCACGTTTGTCAGGCAGGTGCTTAGGCTACCGAGCTAAATCCCAACCCAGATCAGAGTAAAGAACCATAAGAATTTTAATAGCCAGGTATAGTAGTACATATCTGCAGTCTCAGTACCCTTGGGCTGGGGCAGAAAGATCTAAAGATCTAGCCCAGTGTGGGTTACTTAGCCACCTAGTGAGTCTTGTAATGGATTAATGAGGATAATCTTTATTTTTGTTGATAGAATATCTTTTTCAGTATCTTCTAATCTACTGAGAGAAGGGAGGTAAGAAATATTCAAATTCTTGTTTATGTTAGAGCAACTCACAAAACTTTAAACAAGAAAAATCTTGATACCTTACTATACTTAAGTCTGGCAATGAAATTTTCTTTCTTTCTTTCTTTCTTTCTTTCTTTCTTTCTTTCTTTCTTTCTTTCTTTCTTTCTTTCTTTCTTTCTTTCTACCAGGGACTAAGGTCATGACTGCTTGATTGCAAGGCAGGCACTTATGCTGCTGAACTAAATCCATAGCCCGTGGCAATGTAATTTTCATACTGAAATTTATGCTTTGGGAAAGAGACTGATAGCCATACAAATGGGATATTAGAAATTTTCATTGATTTTTAGCCAGAAGTTAAATGTGTTTTCGTATTTCTATTTTTATTTTATTTTTCCAATTTTAAGAAATATGAACTACTTCAGATATGATTAAAACAGAGAATAATATAAAAACATTGATAATCTATTATCTTGCCTAAAGAGGAAAATACAATATTATCTACATTGTCCAAGAATTATATATATGTGAAAGATTAAAGTTCACATTTATTTAATACTTCATATAAGCTGACCATGATGGCACATACCTGTAATTCCAGCTCTTGGGAGGCTGAGGCAGGAGGGTTACCATAAGTTTGAGGCCAATCTCGTTTACATAGGAAGCTTAAGGCCAGCCTTAACTGTGTAGCACAATCCTGTCTCAAAACAAAAAACAACAAAAACAATTTAATATACTACGGATTCTTTCTATTCTTTATATCTTATTTTTACAGTAGCCTCATGAAAGTGATATTAACTTTTCTTTGAAGAAGAAACTGCAAATTATGTGTCAGTGGTAACATTGCCAGGAAACACTGAAAGGCACTGAACTCTTGATTTATGTTATTCTTAGACCCGTGTGTGTGTGTGTGTGTGTGTGTGTGTGTGCACTCACACGCGTGTGTGTGTGTGTGTATTACTGTTTTTCAAAAGACTGATGTATTTGTAGTGTAAGAAGAATTTGGGTGTCCATTTTTCTGTGGCATTGTAAACTTTTCATTAAAACTGAATGATTTTATAATACTTGACAGAGCCCAGTAGCATAATTTATTCAATAATGTATTCATTTAGCATATAACTTATAGTGTCTACAACATGCTCAAAAACTGTTCTGAGTGCTTGATTTCTTTTTCTTTCTTTCCTTTTCTTTTTCTTTTGTCTTTTTTGGTGGGCTTAGGTAGTAAACCCAGTACTTAATGCTTGGTTGCCTGAGCT